TCAAGGGCGCTGTCAGGATGGTATTATAGTTATTTGGTCCAATGTAGGATTCCGCCTCTTACATCAGTGACACTGTCAAGATGGTATTATTAGTAGTTATTTGGTCCAATGTAGATTCCGCCTCTACATCGGCAATTCTCATTGTCAAGATGGTTCCTATAGTTAGTTTGGTCCAATGTAGATTCCGCCTACAGCGGGGGCACTGTCAAGGAATAGTTTCTATAGTTATTTGGTCCAATAGCCAGATTCCACTTTGAGTTCAGGAACAGTCAAGATTGTACTATAGTTATTTGGTCCAATGCTTAGATTCCGCTACATCTGGGACACTGTCAAGATGGTACTTTAGTTATTTGGTCCAATGTAGATTCCGCCTACGTAAGGACACTGTCACGATGGTACTATAGTTATTTTGGTCAATCGCCAGATTCCATCTACATCCAGGACACTATCCAAGATGGAACTATAGCTATTTGGCCAGGGAACAAACACACTTGGTACTTACAAAGGCATTCCAATGGTAGTGCATACGGGTTTGTTCCTTTAAAATGTTTCCTGGACTGTATCAAGAACGTGCCAGACAATTCAGAAACGTGACTCACTCAACCGTTGTAGAGAGGGTCGACGGCTGCTGAATGTTGAGCTCAGTAGCCTAGACTGTTAGAACGTGATGACGTCCGCACAGTTCTGAGGGACATCACTGACTCACTCAACCCTCCCACCTTCATACAAGAGTATATTTTATTACAAGTCCACAAAACTGCTTTAGAAAATAGAAGGTTAACGACAATCAGCAGAAGCACATTTGAACTGTAGTCCTTGAAATAACATTTTTACTGGGACATCACCTTGCTGATCCTTTCATAGCATTCAGGACAAAGGCGCTTTGTCCTTCGTAATAATACACCAATTAGCATATGTTATCAAGGTGTGGCTTTATATGAAGACACACGTCCAAAGAAGCTACTTCACCTTGAGATACATTCACACGCCAGCACAATGTATGAAACCACATGGGTGTATTGTGTGAAACCAATTTTCTGGTATCCCCTGCTCCGGAATATTTATTTAAGAAATTGGCATAAAACCCAGCTTTACTCACTCCTATGAACCACCTGAGATACACTGCATTGAATCTCTCAGGCCATAATGAAACTGGTCGCCAACTTATCAAATGTATCAAAATGACGCCTTCGTTTTTGTATTGAACAAGTCTAACATGTTTTGAGGAGATCAGCATGAAGGACATCTACCCTGTTCGTATCAAGGACATCTACCCTGTTCGTATCAAGGACACTCCACCCTGATCGTATCAAGGTAATCTGCCTAGTTCACTCTTGAAGGACATCTACCCTGAGTGTATCAAGGTACATCTCCGCCCTGATGGTATCAAGGACATCTGCCCAGTTCACATGAAGGACATCTACCCTGTTCACATGAAGGATATCTGTCCTGTTCACATGAAGGACATCTACCTTGTTCGTATCAAGGACATCTACCCTGATCGTATCAAGGTCATCTGCACTGTTCACATGAAGGACATCTGCCCTGTTGACATGAAGGACATCTGCCCTGTTGACATGGACATCTGCCCTGTTGACATGAAGGACATCTGCCCTGTTTGACATGAAGGACATCTGCCCTGTTGACATGAAGGACATCTACCCTGTTAACATGAAGGACATCTACCCTGTTGACATGAAGGACATCTCCCTGTTCACATGAAGGACATCTCCCCTGTTGACATGAAGGACATCTACCCTGTTGACATGAAGGACATCTACCCTGTTGACATGAAGGACATCTGCCCTGTTGACATGAAGGACATCTACCCTGTTGACATGGACATCCGCCCTGTTGACATGAAGGACATCTGCCCTGTTGACATGAAGGACATCTGCCCTGTCTACATTTGACATCTGCCCTGTTGACATGAAGGACATCTACCCTGTTGACATGAAGGACATCTACCCTGTTGACGTGAAGGACATCTACCCTGTTGACATGAAGGACATCTACCCTGTTCACATAAAGGACATCTACCCTGTTCACATGAAGGACATCTACCCTGTTGACATGGACATCTACCCTGTTCACATAAAGGACATCTGCCCTGTTGACATGAAGGTCATCTGCCCTGTTGACATGATGGTCATCTGCTCTGTTGACATGAAGGTCATCTGCCCTGTTCACATGAAGGACATCTACCCTGTTGACATGAAGGACATCTGCCCTGTTCACATGAAGGACATCTACCCTGTTCACATAAAGGACATTTACCCTGTTGACATGAAGGTCATCTGCCCCTGTTCACATGAAGGACATCTACCCTGTTGACACTGAAGGACATCTGCCTTGTTCACATGAAGGACATCTGCCCTGTTCACATGAAGGACATCCACCCTGTTCACATAAAGGACATCTGCCCTGTTGACATGGAAGGTCATCTCCCCTGTTCACATGAAGGTCATCTGCCCTGTTGACATGAAGGACATCTACCCTGTTGACATGAAGGACATCTGCCTTGTTCACATGAAGGACATCTGCCCTGTTCACATGAAGGACATCTACCCTGTTCACATGAAGGACGTCTGCCCTGTTCAAATGAAGGACATTTCTACCCTGTTCACCCTGTTCTATACACCTTAACATCTGCATGGTAATTAGGATTTTACTGTGTGGATGCATGCCCTGGGTGACTGACTGTCAATGAGAACGAGTATCTCTTGTAAAATAACCCTCATACCAATAACATTACAGCTTTCAGCAGTTGCCAGGTCCTATATTTGCTTATAAACAAGGAAACCAACTGATTTTCAACTAATCGTGCTCTAAGAACAGTTTACTAAAAATTGATATTTGCTTAACGACAGGTAACGAATTGCACGTGTTGATGGCCTTTGTTCGTTATACATGTAAAGTGTAAAGTCAGTGTTAGTAATAGTATGACCAGAAATTATTGAGAATTTTAGGTATATGTTGAATTGGATTTCTGAGTATAAACAACCTTGACCAGTTATCAAGTGCTTGGTTTCATTCAAGAGAGACAACTCCGTTAATCCTTTTCATTAGTTTGTGAAGAGTTATTCCCCTTTGTTTACTTGCTAGCAGACGACATTTTCAGTGATCCTCAGTATGGATGATTAGAGTAGGGGGAGTTGATTTTAGAGTATTATAACAAGGACATCAGATCAGCTAAAGTGCTTTCAAGTAGAACAGGCATCCCTTTGTCCACTGTATATCGTGTTTTGAAAAATAATGCAAATGGATATGGCATTGAGCACCAGGGAGGCGCAGGTAGGCCCAGAAAATTGACTGTCGGTGACAGGGAGGCGGCTTGGTATTCTTGTTTCTACAAAACAAACGAAGGAGTTTAGAAAACTTAAGGCTGGATATGATTGATAGAGGAACATGTGGCTGTCTGTAAGGAGACAATTAGAACTGACTAACCGAGTTTGGTTTTACGCCACTTTTAGCAATATTCCAGCAACATCACGGCGGGGGGACACCAGAAATGGGCTTCACACATTGTACCCATGGGGATTCGAACAATTAGAACTGAGCTGCATGCAATGGGTTGGCAGAAAAATTCGAGGAATTCCATCACCGATCATGAAACCTGAACCTGAACAAAATTTTAACTGGGACAATGTGATTTTCTCATATGAGAGAAGTTCTGTGTGGCTGTTTCCTAATACACTGGAATTCTGGACCAAACAAACTGAAAATCTTTGAATCAGCCCCAAAGTACAGTCCGGAAATTTAACATGTGGGGTGACATATCTGTGTTAGGGGGCAACGCCCATCTGTGTATTTGAAGGGAATATGAACAGTGAGCGGTACATAGATATTCTTGAGGGACATTTACTTCCATCTGCTGACGTGTTCTATGTGGAAATGTTTGGATTTTCCAGCAGGACAATAACCCAAAACATCGTTCAAAGCATTCACAGGCCTGGTTTCGGACCCAAAATATGACATTATTAGATTGGCCAAGCTATAGCCCTGACCTAAAATCCAATAGAAAATGTTTTGGGACTTATGAAGGAAAGTGTCAATAAGAGAAATCTGACATATATTGCTGAAATGATAGAAGAGGTGGTCCGATATTGGGACAGCATGGACCACGACTTTCTAACTTCTTTGATCAGTAGTATGACCTGCCGCATTGAAGCCTGCATTGCTGTCCATGGTGACTTGACAAAATACTAACTGTTCACCTGTCTTTGAATCTGGAGTTATGTTTTGCTAATATTCACATTTAACATGTGAGTAATGAGTGAAAAATAACAAAATTACAATCTTTAAATTCTTAATAATTTCTGGTTGTATTGTGTATGTTATGAATATAATTGGCTTAATGGGAGTAAAATCATAGGTACTGCAATATTTTCTTCAGTGTGTATACTTGAGCTATCCGGAGTCCGAGGCCTTCGTGTGTGTGTCGTTACCAGTGACCAGTATCTGGTTACAGTTAAAATGGCTGCTGTAAACTGCATCATGAATGACTAGCACCTCCATCGTCTCAACAAGCTGACTGTATGTATCAAAACAAACATCACACAACCACGTGTCCGTCAACGCCAACAACAGCTGAATACGTGTTGTCCGGCAGACCCTCAACAGCTAACCACGTGTCAGTCACACAACCATCAGCTGCTGACTAAGTGTCCGTCAAACCAACAACAGCTGAATATGTGTCCGTCACACCACTATCAGCTGACTGCGTATGTGCCAGCCTCCCACAACAGTTGACCACCAACAGTAACTATATGTCTGCCAGAGCTGTTGTTTGTCAGCCGTATGTATTTCCCGGAACGACATCAATGAACAACATAATCAGAATCACATTACAGTTTATTCATCCTTTACTGAATTGAGTGTGACAGCGTGTCAAGGTGACCATGTAATATTTTATGGCTTGTCTGAACACAGGGTGCCAGGAAGGCGTGTCTGAGCAACGTGCAGTAAGGCAACCAATGACTACACGTGATTGTCACAGGGACACACAAAACTCCGCCTTACTGGAGCAGTGACTGTTGTTTTGACTGCAACTTGATATGTAGTCGTCAAATGTTAATTTGTCCAACAATACCTTCATCTCCATGAAGGTTTTATGTCTACTTGCAAAACCGTACATTGGATGTTAATAAGCTGCACGTTAAGCGACTATCAAACCATAGCGAGGAGTCATGTAGAATCGTGTGCGTGTGCCCTGCTGTGTAGACGACGTCTGCTACTGCTGCTGCGATGACTCCATGGACGCTGGTGTCTTTGCTGCTGTTGTTGGTGTCGGTGGTGTGGGAACGAGGTGTCGCCACAGAGCGGTTGCTTCCTTCAGAAGAGGCCTGTAAGCGGTTATGTTGGTACCAAAAGCTTTGCAAGTCTCTGCGGTGGAACAGCTGGACTGGCGGATGTGAAGTGTCCACTACAGAGGTGTTGAGCAGCAACCGGTCGGGCGTTGTCACGTTCACCGTAGAGGATCTGGAGAAACACTGGGAGGTAGGACGCTTGACTTGTAGGGCTGAATATTGCCCTGATTCTCATATTGCGATATATTGCAATAATTTAAGAGATATTGCAATACTTATTGTGACATTTTGACTGGAAGGTTTCTGCCCAAGTGCGTACATCATACATTCATAATAGCTCTTTGTGTGCGACATGTGCAATCCGAGAAGGGACCTTGTCGCGTTGTCGCATTTTCGCGTTGTCTCCTCAAAAACAAGCAAAATGAGGCAAAATTAACCAAAGCGCGACAATGCGACAATGCGACAACGCGACATTTCGGCCATTTGTCGCATTGTCGCGATGTCGCATGTCGCGTTTTGAATAATATTTTGCTATTCCTCCAAAGGGCGACATTGCGACATAGCGACCATTTTCAAGGTCAAAATATGTCGCGTTGTCGCATTGTCGCCCCATCTAAGATGTGTGAAAAAGGCCCAAAAGCCAAAAAGCCGACAACGCGACAATGTCCCTTCCAGGATTCTATAGTTGCTATTACACCATTCTTTCAGGCTCCCCGTCTCCGTGTATGGCTGCATGCTAGTGGGTTGCAGATAAATAAAACATAGAATCTTAATGTGGAATGTTTAATTGAAGTATTGCAACAAAGTTTTGCGAACATAATGATAAAGGTTATAGTATCACATGATTTACATGGTCAGTGTTGTTTGCTTCAACAGAATACACTTTAATGCAGTATGTAATTATTGTTACTGTTTGTCAGTGATTCATTCAGATTCAACTCCAATATAAACATGTGTTAACATTAACTATTGCAAAATGAAACAAAAACATGATTTAGGTGAACTATTTGAGCATAGAATCTCATATGACCTCGAATGACTAAGATCCTTCACTCGGATGTCATTAAACAGTCCTACAATATTCATAAGACTTAAGCTTCTGTCCCATTATGACACAAACGAAAATAACAAAATAATTTGAATTGTGAAATGGTCACTCTAGCCAGAGGATCTAGTTATAAGTCCAAATCCATCCTCCTATCGCATCCATCTGTCCACCATTGTCTGTCCTGTCTTCCATCCCACGCTGTTATCTGTCCATCACATGTACCTGTCCTCCCTCCCACGCATTTATCTGTCAACACATCTACCCTCCTCCTCACATCTTCATCTGCCCACACATCTACCCGTCTCCTCTCACGCTTCCATCTCACCACATATCTACCTGTCCTCCCTCCCATGCCTCCATCTCACTCACACATCTACCTGTCCTCCTCCTACGCCTTTATCTGTCCACACATCTACCCTCCATCCATCTGTCCATCCACCTCCATCTCCTTATCCACCGTCCTTCCTCCGCCTCCATCTGTCCGTTCCATGCCTCCACGTGTCTGTCCATCTCCGTCCTTCCTCCGCCGCTGTCTGTCCATTCGTCTGTCCGTCTGTCCTCCGGCCATCCACGTCCTCCATCCGCTGTCTGTCCGTCTTCATCTACCGTGTCTGTCCGTCTTCGTCTGTCCACGTCTGCCGCCTCCGTCTGTCCGTGTCGTCGTCGTCGCTGTCTGTCGCGTCATTCCGCCGGCTGTCTGTCGTCGTTGTCTGTCCGCGTTGTCTGTCGTCTACCCGTCATCTTGTCCATCGTCTGCCTCGGGTCTGTGCCTCCACCGGTCCGGTCCTCTTCTGTCCGTCCGCCTCCGGCGATCTGGTCCATCTGTCTTCCTGTCTACCGTCATTCCGTCTGTCCGGTCCGGTCCGTCTCCGCCTCCATCTCTCCATCTACCGTCCTTCCTCCATTCCTGGTCGTCATGCGTCGGTCCGTCTGTCCGTCTACCGTCGTGCCGTCCTTCCATCTGTCCTTCCTCCATCCGTCCGTACGTCCATTCGGTCCGTCGCCGTCCGGTCCATCCTTCCACTGGTCCGGTCCATCCTGGTCCGTCCGTGTTTCGTCCGCTGGTCCATCTGTCCGGTGTCCGTATTCCGGTGTCGATCCGTGTTCCGTCCTTCCTCCATCGTCCTGTCCTTCCACTGGTCCATTTTCCTTCCACCGGTCCGTCTGTCCGTGTCCGGTCCGGCTGTCACGTCTGTCGGGTCGATGATGTATTGTCTGTGAGGGTGGATGATGTGACCGACACAGGTGCATGATGTGACAGACAGGTGCATGATGAGACGGACAGGTGCATGATGTGCGACGGACAGGTGGTCATGATGTGACAGACAGGTGCATGATGTGACAGACAGGTGGAGTTGTGACAGACAGGTGGATGGATGAGTCTGTGAGGGTGGATGATGCTGACAGACAGGTGCAAGATGTTACAGACAGGTGCATGATGTGACGAAGAACAGCTGCATGATGTGAAGACAAGTGGATGATGTGACAGAGACAGGTTGATGATGCGACGAACAGGTGCATGATGTGACGGACAGGTGCATGATGTGACAGACAGGTGGAGTATGTGACAGACAGGTGGATGATGTGTCTGTGATGTGGATGATGTGACGGACAGGTGCATGATGTGACAGACAGGTGCATGATGTGACGGACAGGTGCACGATGTGACGGGTTGTGGATAATGTAAGAGAGTGGTACAGGATGTGACGGTTCGTTCACGATGTGACGGGTTGTGGATAATGTAAGAGAGTGGTACAGGATGTGATGGTTCGTTCACGATGTGACGGGTTGTGGATAATGTAAGTACAGGAGAGTGGTACAGGATGTGACGGTTTCGTTCGTGCACGATGTGACAGGTTGTGGATAATGTAAAGGAGAGTGGTACAGGATGTGACGGTTCGTTCACGATGTGACAGGTTGTGGATAATGTAATGGAGTGGTACAGGATGTGACGGTTCGTTCAGGATGTGACGGGTTGTGGATAATGTAATAAATAAGGAAGTGGTACAGGATGTGACGGTTCGTTGGGTTGTGGATGATGTGACGGGTTGTGGATAATGTAAGGAGAGTGGTACAGGATGTGACGGTTCGTTCATGATGTGACGGGTTGTGGATAATGTAAGGGAGTGGTACAGGATGTGACGGTTCGTTCATGATGTGACGGGTTGTGGATAATGTAAGAGAGTGGTACAGGATGTGACGGTTCGTTCATGATGTGACGGGTTGTGGATAATGTAAGAGAGTGGTACAGGATGTGACGGTTCGTTCACGATGTGACGGGTTGTGATAATAGGAGAATGGTACAGATGTGACGGTTCGTACAGTGACAGGTTGTGGATAATGTGGAGTGGTACAGGATGTGACGGTTGTTCATGATGTAATGGTTGTGGGAGTGGTACAGTGGTACAGGATGTGACGGTTCGTTCATGATGTGACGGGTTGTGGATAATGTAAGGGAGTGGTACAGGATGTGACGGTTCGTTCACGATGTGACAGGTTGTGGATAATGTAAGAGAGTGGTACAGGATGTGACGGTTCGTTCATGATGTGACGGGTTGTGGATAATGTAGGAGAGTGGTACAGGATGTGACGGTTCGTTCATGATGTGACGGGTTGTGGATAATGTAAGGAGAGTGGTACAGGATGTGATGGTTCGTTCATGATGTGACAGGTTGTGGATAATGTAAGAGAGTGGTACAGGATGTGACGGTTCGTTCATGATGTGACGGGTTGTGGATAATGTAAGGGAGTGGTACAGGATGTGAGGTTATGGTTCGTTCATGATGTGACGGAGTTGTGGATAATGTAAGAGAGTGGTACAGGATGTGACGGTTCGTTCATGATGTGACAGGTTGTGGATAATGTAAGGGAAGTGGTACAGGATGTGACGGTTCGTTCATGATGTGACGGGTTGTGGATAATGTAGGAGAGTGGTACAGGATGTGACGGTTCGTTCATGATGTGACAGGTTGTGGATAATGTAGGAAGTGGTACAGGATGTGACGGTTCGTTCATGATGTGACGGGTTGTGGATAATGTAGGAGAGTGGTACAGGATGTGACGGTTCGTTCATGATGTGACGGGTTGTGGATAATGTAGGAGAGTGGTACAGGATGTGACGGTTCGTTCATGATGTGACGGGTTGTGGATAATGTAAGAGAGTGGTACAGGATGTGACGGTTCGTTCATGATGTGAAGAGGTTGTTGTGGATAATGTAAGGAGAGTGGTACAGGATGTGAGTTCGTTCGTACATGATGTGACAGGTTGTGGATAATGTAAGGAGAGTGGTACAGGATGTGACGGTTCGTTCATGATGTGACGGGTTGTGGATAATGTAAAGAGTGGTACAGGATGACGGTTCGTCGTTCATGATGTGACAGGTTGTGGATAATGTAAGGAGAGTGGTACAGGATGTGACGGTTCGTTCATGATGTGACGGGTTGTGTGGATAATGTAAGAGAGTGGTACAGGATGTGACGGTTCGTTATGATGTGATGTAAGAGTTGGATAATGTAAGAGAGTGGTACAGGATGTGACGGTTCGTTCATGATGTGACGGGTTGTGGATAATGTAAGAGAGTGGTACAGGATGTGACGGTTCGTTCACGATGTGACGGGTTGTGGATAATGTAAGGGAGTGGTACAGGATGTGACGGTTCGTTCATGATGTGACAGGTTGTGGATAATGTAAGGAGGAGTGGTACAGGATGTGACGGTTCGTTCACGATGTGACGGGTTGTGGATAATGTAAGAGAGTGGTACAGGATGTGACGGTTCGTTCACGATGTGACGGGTTGTGGATAATGTAAGGGAGTGGTACAGGATGTGACGGTTCGTTCACGATGTGACTGGTTGTGGATAATGTAAGGAGTGGTACAGGATGTGACGGTTCGTTCATGATGTGACGGGTTGTGGATAATGTAAGAGAGTGGTACAGGATGTGACGGTTCGTTCACGATGTGACGGGTTGTGGATAATGTAAGGGAGTGGTACAGGATGTGACGGTTCGTTCACGATGTGACGGGTTGTGGATAATGTAAGGAGAGTGGTACAGGATGTGACGGTTCGTTCATGATGTGACGGGTTGTGGATAATGTAAGGGAGTGGTACAGGATGTGACGGTTTCGTTAATGTGATGTGACAGGTTGTGGATAATGTAAGGTTGTGTGGTACAGTGGTACAGGATGTGACGGTTCGTTCATGATGTGACAGGTTGTGGATAATGTAAGAGAGTGGTACAGGATGTGACGGTTCGTTCACGATGTGACAGGTTGTGGATAATGTAAGAGAGTGGTACAGGATGTGACGGTTCGTTCATGATGTGACAGGTTGTGGATAATGTAAGAGAGTGGTACAGGATGTGACGGTTCGTTCACGATGTGATGGGTTGTGGATAATGTAAGGGAGTGGTACAGGATGTGACGGTTCGTTCATGATGTGACAGGTTGTGGATAATGTGAGAGTGGGTTGTGGATAATGTAACGGTTGGTTCAGGATGATGTGACGGGTTGTGGATAATGTAGGAGAGTGGTACAGGATGTGACGGTTCGTTCATGATGTGACGGGTTGTGGATAATGTAAGGAGAGTGGTACAGGATGTGACGGTTCGTTCACGATGTGACGGGTTGTGGATAATGTAAGAGAGTGGTACAGGATGTGACGGTTCGTTCATGATGTGACGGGTTGTGGATAATGTAAGAGAGTGGTACAGGATGTGACGGTTCGTTCACGATGTGACGGGTTGTGGATAATGTAAGAGAGTGGTACAGGATGTGATGGTTCGTTCACGATGTGACGGGTTGTGGATAATGTAAGAGAGTGGTACAGGATGTGACGGTTCGTTGTAATGTTGACACGATGTGACTGGTTGTGGGTTGATGGATAATGTAGGTTGTAGATAAGTAAAGGTACAGGATGTGACAGTTCGTTCATGATGTGACGGGTTGTATGGATAATGTAGGAAGTGGTACAGGATGTGACGGTTCGTTCATGATGTGACGGGTTGTGGATAATGTAAGAGTAAGTGGTACAGGATGTGACGGTTCGTTCATGATGTGACGGGTTGTGGATAATGTAATGAGAGTGGTACAGGATGTGACGGTTCGTTCATGATGTGACAGGTTGTGGATAATGTAAGTAGGAGAGTGGTACAGGATGTGACGGTTCGTTCACGATGTGACGGGTTGTGGATAATGTAAGAGAGTGGTACAGGATGTGACGGTTCGTTCACGATGTGACGGGTTGTGGATAATGTAGGAGAGTGGTACAGGATGATGTGATGGTTCGTTTCACGATATGACGGGTTGTATGGATAATGTAAGAGAGTGGTACAGGATGTGAATGGTTCGTTCACGATGTGACAGGTTGTGGATAATGTAGAGGTAGTGGTACAGGATGTGACAGGTTCGTTCACGATGTGACGGGTTGTGGATAATGTAAGAGAGTGGTACAGGATGTGACGGTTCGTTCATGATGTGACGGGTTGTGGATAATGTAGGAGTGGTACAGGATGGTACAGGATGTGACGGGTTGTGGATAATGTAAGAGAGTGGTACAGGATGTGACGGTTCGTTCACGATATGAATGTGGTAGGAGGAGATGATACAGGATTTGACGGTTCGTTGACGATGTGTATCGGATTGTTGTTAATGTATTAGAGATTGTGACAGGATGTATCGGGTTCTTTCACGACGTGACGGGTTTATGGATAATGTTGTTGGAGTGGACGTGACTGTAATGGTTCGTTGGATGTGACATGACTGTGTATCAGGTTTGTTGCAGTGGTAGAGATGACTGTGTATCAGGTTCGTGCATGTGACTTGTGGATAAGGTTGTTGCACTGGTACAGGATGTGTATCGGGTTGTTGGATGATGTGACTGTGTATCTGGTTGTTGCACAAGGTGAGTGGTATCAGGATTTGTTGATGTTTCGTGACTGATGTATCTGGTTGTTGCTGGATGTGACTGTGTATCAGGTTGTTGCACGACGTGCATGTATCTAGTTGTTGCACAACGTGACTGTATATGAATGTTGTTGGATGACGTGATGACTGTGTATCAGGTTGTTGGCAGGACGTGACTGTGTATCGGGTTGTTGGAGGACGTGACTGTGTATCAGGTTGTTGCAGGACGTGACTGTGTATCGGGTTGTTGCAGGACGTGACTGTGTATCAGGTTGTTGCAGGACGTGACTGTGTATCAGGTTGTTGGATGACGTGACTGTGTATCAGGTTGTTGGAGGACGTTGACGATGTATCGGGTTGTTGGAGGACGTGACTGTGGTATCAGGTTGTTGGAGGACGTTGATGATGTGTATCGGGTTGTTGCATGACGTGTATCTGAGTGTTGCCAGGTTGTTGCACGGCGACGTGACGACGACTGTGGAGTATCAGGTTGTTGCACGACGTGACTGTGTATCGGGTTGTTGCACGGCGTGTGGTGTATCAGGTTGTTGCACGGCAATGACTGTTTATCAGGTTGTTGCGCGACCTGACTGTTTATGGTACAGGTTGTTGCACGGTCATGACTATGTATCGGGTTGTTGGATGACGTGACTGTGTATCAGGTTGTTGCACAACTTGACTGGACTGTATCGGGATTTGTTACGGTGTGACTGTGTTATCAGGTTCGTTCACGACGTGACTGATTTTATCAGGTTGTTGCACGGCAATGACTATTATCAGAGGTTGTTACACAACGTGACTGTTTATCAGGTTGTTTCACGATGTGACTGTATGTATCAGGTTTATTTGCACAACTGTGACTATGTATCAGGTTGTTGCAGGACGTGACTGTTTATCAGGATGTGACGACGTGACTGATATATCAGGTTAGTTGCACGGCGTGACGGTTGTATCAGGTTGTTGCGACAGCTGACTCTGTATCGGGTTATTGCGGTACGTGACTCTGTATCAGTTCGTTGCACGATGTGACTACTTATCAGGTTGTTGCACAACGTGACTGTCAGTATCAGGTTGTTGCACGATGTGACTGTTTTATCGGGTAATGTTGCACGACGTGACTGTGTATCGGGTTGTTGCACGACGTGACTGTGTATCGTGGTTGTTGCGAGAGGTGACTGCTTATCGGGTTGTTGCGAGCACGTGACTGTGTATCGGGTTGTTGCTGATAACGTGATGAGTGTGTATCAGGTTGTTGGAGGACGTGACTGTGTATCAGGTTGTTGCACAACGTGACTGTGTATACAGTTGTTGCACGACGTGACTCTGTATCAGGTTGTTGCGCGACGTGACTGTTTATCGGGTTGTTGCACGACGTGACTGTGTATCGGGTTGTTGCACAACGTGACTGTGTATCGGGTTGTTGGAGGACGTGACTGTGTATCAGGTTGTTGCACAACGTGACTGTGTATCAGGTTGTTGCATGACGTGACTCTGTATCGGGTTGTTGACAGGGCGTGACTGTGTATCGGGTTGTTGCACGACGTGACTCTGTATCGGGTTGTTGCTGACGTGACTCTGTATCAGGTTGTTGCAGGGCGTGACTGTGTATCGGGTTGTTGCACGACGTGACTGTATCAGGTTGTTGCACGACGTGACTGTGTATCGGGTTGTTGCACGACGTGACTGTGTATCGGGTTGTTGCACGACGTGACTGTGTATCGGGTTGTTGCAGGGCGTGACTGTGTATCGGGTTGTTGCACGACGTGACTGTGTATCAGGTTGTTGCACGACGTGACTCTGTATCGGGTTGTTGCAGGGCGTGACTGTGTATCGGGTTGTTGCACGACGTGACTCTGTATCGGGTTGTTGCAGGACGTGACTGTGTATCGGGTTGTTGCAGGACGTGACTGTGTATCGGGTTGTTGCAGGACGTGACTGTGTATCGGGTTGTTGCAGGACGTGACTGTGTATCGGGTTGTTGCAGGACGTGACTGTGTATCGGGTTGTTGCAGGACGTTACTGTGTATCGGGTTGTTGCACGACGTTACTGTGTATCGGGTTGTTGCACGACGTTACTGTGTATCGGGTTGTTGCACGACGTGACTGTGTATCGGGTTGTTGCTGTTGACTTGGACAACTGATGTCAGCTGTTACAATCTGGCGTATTCGTGTCCTTAATGCTCGCATAATACCGTCTATATTTCAGTTTCCCAGAAGTGGCCACCCGTGTGCTGCTCGACCATGTCACCCGAGGTATCTGTGTGTGCCTGTGGAGGCAGCTCTAGGCCAAGTCTGTCTTCCCACAGGACCTGCTACAGGTACTGCTGTTTTTGTAATGCTGTTCTACTTTGTACTACTACAGTACGCACTCCTGAATACATCTTGACATGTTTTGGTTATCAGTACAGCATTAAATGTCTTGGTGATCAATATACACTTTAATGATGGTGGTGGGGATCCGGTGGTCAGACTCGCTGGCTTGGTTGACACATGTCTTCGGTTCCCAGTTGCGCAGATCGATGCTCATGTTGTTGATCACTGGATTGTCTGGTCACAGCACTCACCAACATTCCAGTGATATGGCGGCGGTCTGTAAATAATCGAGTCTGGACCAGACAATCCAGTGATCAACATCATGAGCATCGATCTACACAACTGGTCGGACCACCGATCCCGTTAGTCGCCTCTCACGACAAACAAGGGTTACTGGAGATCAATTCTAACCCGGACCTTCACGGTTGGTTACACCAGTACTTCTGCCATCACACTGCTGCTTCTATCGGCATCTTTAAGAGCTTCAACCACGTGATGTCCTCATGCCGTGACCTCCCAGCTTTGCAACAGTACGGCAAATAACTCTTGTATACAAACACTGCTGACTGGACAAACTGATTGTACGTTGTGCAGGTGCTTTCCTAACGTCGTCATTAATATGTTACTTTCAGGGGCAGAGACAGATGACCACGTGACAACGCCCACGACGTCCGAAACGCCCACAACGTCCACAACGTCCAACACCACTGAATGCATTGAAGTTACATGTTTAGGTAACATTTTCTTTATTGACAATAAATATTTAATGTTTGAATAATAGACACCTTTTTATATGGTTTTCATTTAATCAATCTATGAACAAGATGTTGCATGCTTATATCCATAGTGTGCTTCCTTTGTGGTAAATCTGCCGGATACACACATATTGGACTAATTTGTTCGTGTTATTTCAGACCTCTTGAGCACCATACGAGGCCCCATAAATGCAAGTACGTACTCCTAGAATATGATATGTCATGCATTTGTTATCCGCTAAATGTAAATGGGTTTGGGGGCATTTTTTAATTCTGAAACTAATTGTTAGAGACAAGTGTGGATATTTCGTTTTTAGTTTAAACGAAGCTAAGAAGATTGGTGATTGTTTTGAACCTCAATATAATGCTTTACACGTAAACTCACGGGCGAAAGAAACGTCACCAAAATTATTTGTTCTTCTTTTATGGTACACTAAGTGATTATTCATATCTGTAGTTCACACTTTCATCATTCAGAATGTTGTAAATCCATTTATTTGCCGACCATGATTGTTACATTTCCAAAATCTGAGTTTGTTGTTTTGTGACATGTTAAAAAAGCGAGGCGACGTTTCTTTCACCCGTGAGTTTAGTATCCACCATAAACAATTGACATATGGTATAAACCACGACTGATCGGTTCTCTTGGGGACAAGTGGTGTGTGTGTGTGTGTGTGTGTGTGTGTGTGTGCGTGCGTGCGTGCGTGCGTGCGTGCGTGCGTGCGTGCGTGTGTGTGCTATACAATGTCGGGGGTGGGTGGGTGTTGGGGGTGTTCTTCATCTTCCTGCCAACCAAATCCCTAGATCGGGGAAATTAGTGACACACCGTGTGAACACGACCGTTTCTATTTCAGGATGCAATGCGACATGTGACCAGGGCGATGGTAACTTCCCAGTTTGCAATTTGGCAGAAGTTTTCATAACATGTTCCAACAGTGGTGTGTCCTTCACAAGATGTCAGGAGAAACTCATCTTTGATAGAAACAAGAACGCTTGTGAAAATAACAATTAAAGGTTCCCATAGACTAACAACTAGTCTCTGAAATGAACATATTTTCCTGAAAAAAGTTCATAGTAAAAGAAATAAAATATAATGAAAAAGGGCCATGAGTTTGATGGTCGTACTAATATCTACAGTCACAGAGTTCACCACGACCCACTTGTGAGCTGACTACAGTATATTCACTCCAAAAGAGTTGATGTACTAATTGACACCCTGGTTGACGTACTGATTGACACCCTGGTTGACGTACTGATTGACACACTGATTGACGTACTGATTGACACACTGATTGACGTACTGATTGACACACTGATTGACACACTGATTGACACCACGAACGTACGTATTGATTGAAACCCTGATTGACGTACTGATTGACACCATGATTGACGTACTGATTGACACCCATGAACGGACGTATTGATTGACACCCCGGTTGACTTTCTGATTGACGTACTGATTGACACCATGAACGGACGTCTGATTGACATTGTCATTGACGCCCTGGTAGAACGCAAATGATTGACACCCTGATTGACGTACTGATTGACACCCTGATTGACGTACTGATTGACACCCTGATTGGCGTACTGATTGACACCTGGTGAATGACGTACTGATTGACGCACCTGATTGACGTACTGATTGACACCATGATTGACGTACTGATTGACACCCTGATGGACGTACTGATTGACACCATGAACGTACATATTGATTGACACCCTGATTGACGTACTGATTGACACCATGAACGTACGTATTGATTGACACCCTGATTGAAGTATTGACTGACACCCTGATTGACATTCTCATTGACACCCTGGTAAACGTACTGATTGACACCCTGATTAACGCTCTGGTGGACGTATTGATTGATGTCCTGACTGACACCCTGATTGACACCCTTATTGACACCCTGATTGACGTCTTCACTGACACCCCGATGGACACTCTGATTGACACCCTTATTGACACCAATATTGACGCACTGATTGACGTCTTCACTGACGCCCTGATGGACCCTCTGATTGACACCCTTATTGGCACCAATATTGACACCCTGATTGACGCACTGATTGACGTCTTCACTGATGCCCTGGTTGACACCCTCTCTGTGTGGGGGGAGCGTAACACATGGGATGTTTTGATTGATATTATTGACGATTTTACTAAACTATTTGTTTATTTTATGTTGTTTAACGCCGCACTCAGCTGTAAGGTGGCGGTCTGTAAATAATCGAGTCTGGACCAGACAATCAAGTGATCAACATCATGATCATTCATCTACGCAGTTTTCATACGAAGACGTGTCAACCAAGTCAGCGAAACTGACCACGCGATCCCGTTAGTCGCCTCTTACCACAAACAAGCATGGGTTCTTGAATACCAATTATGTTACAAACTTAACTATCTTAAATAATCACGTTATCAGGTGTTGTAAAAAATAAGGTCCTCTCAAGATGAAGGTGAACCCTCTCTCAAGGTGAAGGTGAACCCTCTCTCAAGGTGAAGGTGAACCCTCTCTCAGGGTGAAGGTGAAGGTGAACCCTCTCTCAAGGTGAAGGTGAACCCTCTCTCAAGGTGAAGGTGAGGTGAGGTGAACCCTCTCTCAAGGTGAAGGTGAGACCCTCTCTCAAGGGTGAAGGTGAAGGTGAACCCTCTCTCAAAGTGAAGGTGAACCTCTCTCTCCAAGGTGAAGGTGAACCCTCTCTCAAGGTGAAGGTGAACCCTCTCTCAAGGTGAAGGTGAACCCTCTCTCAAGGTGAAGGTGAGAGGTGAAGGTGAACCCTCTCTCAAGGTGAAGGTGAACCCTCTCTCTCAAGGTGAAGGTGAACCCTCTCAAGGTGAAGGTGAGACCCTCTGAGGTGGTGAAACCCTCTCTCAAGGTGAAGGTGAACCCTCTCTCAAGGTGAAGGTGAAGGTGAACCCTCTCTCAAGGTGAAGGTGAACCCTCTCTCAAGGTGAAGGTGAACCCTCTCTCAAGGTGAAGGTGAACCCTCTCTCAAGGTGAAGGTGAAGGTGACCCTCTCTCAAGGTGAAGGTGACCCCTCTCAAGGTGAAGGTGAAGGTGAACCCTCTCTCAAGGTGAAGGTGAACCCTCTCTCAAGGTGAAGGTGAACCCTCTCTCAAGGTGAAGGTGAACCCTCTCTCAAGGTGAAGGTGAACCCTCTCTCAAGGTGAAGGTGAAGGTGAACCCTCTCTCAAGGTGAAGGTGAACCCTCTCTGAAGGTGACGGTGAACCCTCTCTCAAGCTGAAGGTGAACCCTCTCTCAAGGTGAAGGTGAAGGTGAACCCTCTCTCAAGGTGAAGGTGAACCCTCTCTCAAGGTGAAGGTGATCCCTCTCTCAAGGTGAAGGTGAACCGTGAAAAGCTGTGACCGTCCAGTTAGGATAGTGACAGAGGGAGTGGTGGACCCGTCTAATGTGAGCTTCCAATCGTTCGCCCCTGGGTTTCGGAATTTCAATATAAGAGACAGAAGGGGCGACGGGTAACCTTGTGGTTAAAGTGCACGCTCGTCACGCTGTAAATGATCGAGTTTGAACCAGACACTCCAGTGATGAGCATCACGTTGTCGGACTACAGTGATAATCCTGAGTCAGCGGTCACGTGATCAGTCACCTTTTTGACGAAAGGCTTGGACTACTGAAGATCATGTTTAACCCGGATCTCTTCCCGGAATACGACCATGAAATAGATATAACCATACATAAACCCAAACAGAAATAAAGTCAAATAAATCTAAACAAAAACAACTGTATCGTCGCTTTGTTTAGAGTCCTGGGCCTAGATTTTCGTAACTGTCTTACCGCTAAGATAGTCGTAAGTACCATAGCTTGGTAATGTTAATGTTAATGTTAAGCTATGGTACTTACGATTATCTTAGCGCCAAGACAGTTTCGAAAATCTAGGCCCTGGGGTAGAGTTGATGAGTGTCTATAACATTCATATCCTATAACGGATTTCCACGGATGCTGTTCTTTAATTACTCATTCTTGTACACCGAGACTTTCCAGGTGGCGCCGCAGAACGTGCTGCTGTCGCCGAAACACGCCTTGCTACACGATGAGTCCGCCAGCAAGCTGTGTCCTCCGGTGTCCAGCGTAGTGCCACACGAACAGTCCTTGCCTTTCTGGAAACAGCATAAGTAGAAATGTAGCAAAGTTGTTTTCAGACTCAAGTTTTAACCTACCAACGATGTGGGCGATATTCAGGACGCAGGGGGTAAGTGATCTGTGTCACTGAAAGACCCTTTTGGAAATTGATCACTGTGGCTTGTACCTTGCTGACAAAACATGGTAGGATCATCATGATACACTCTAGTTGGCTGTCTGTCAAATACAGTCCGCACCTGTTCATGTTACCATGGTAACCACCACTGACAAATTGCTAATGGGCTTATTAAACGTGATTCATGTCACGTGGACGAATTCAGTAAAACATCCCAGAACGTGGCAAAATCAGCCGTAAAATCAGACCAGCACCAGACCAAAAAATGTGCACAGACAGAATATGACATGGTGCATCTGGTTTATTATACCCCCATAACTGTACCCCGTCACTGTACCCCGTCACTGTACCTCGTCACTGTACCCCATCACTGTACCCCATCACTGTACCCCGTCACTGTACCCCGTCACTAAACCCCATCACTTTACCCCGTTATTGAACCCATCACTGTACCCATCAATGCACCCCGTCACTGTACCCAGTCACTGTACCCCATCCCTGTACCCCATCACTGTACCCATCACTTTTCCCCATAATTGTACCCGTCACTGTATCCTTTCACTGTACTCCATCACTGTATCCCATCACTGTTCCCCATCACTGTACCCTGTCACTGTACCCCACCACGGTACTCCGTCACTGTACCCCATCACTGTACCAGTCACTGTACCCTGTCACAGTACTCAAACACTGTACCACATCACTGTACCCCATCACTGTACCCAATCACTGTACCCCATCACTGTACCCGTCACTGTACCCCATCACTGTACCCCGTCACTGTACCCAATCACTTTACCCAGTCATTTAGCCCCATCACTGAACCCATCAATGTACCCCGTCACTGTACCCCATCACTGTACCACGTCACTGTACCCGTCACTGTACAGTGCCACTGTACCCCGTAACTGTACCCCATCACTGTACCCAATCACTTTACCAGTCATTTAGCCCATCACTGTACCCATCAATGTACCCCGTCACTGTACCCATCACTGTACCCAGTCACTGTGCCCCATCACTTTGCCCCGTAACTGTACCCGTCACTGTATCCTTTCACTGTACCCCATCACTGTAACCCATCACTATACCACATCACTGTGCCCCATCACTGTACCCTATCACTGTATCCCGTCACTGTACCCCAATACTTTATCCCGTCACTGTACCACACCACTGTATAAAGTCACTGTACCCTGTCACTGCACCTCATCACTGTACCCCGTCACTGTACCACATCACTGTATACGGTCACTGTACCCCGTCACTGTATCCTGTCACTGTACTCCATCACTGTACCACTACACTGAATACGGTCACTGTACCCCATCACTGGACCCCATCACTGTACCCTGTCACTGTACTCCATTACTGTATGACATCACTGTACCAATCACAGTATCCTGTCACTGTACCCCGTCATTCATCCTCATCGCTGTACCCGTCACTGTACCCCGTCACTGTACCCGTCACTGTACCATATCCCTGTTCCCCATCACTGTACCCCATCACTGTGTCCTGTCACTGTACCCCATCACTGTACCCGTCACTGTACCCCATCACTGTATCCTGTCACTGTACCCCACCACAGTACCCCATCACTGTACCCCTCACTGTACCCCATCACTGTACCCCGTCACTGTCACTGTACCCCGTCACTGTACCCCATCACTGTACCCGTTACTGTACCTACCCCATCACTGTATACCCCATCACTGTACCCGTCACTGTACCTCATCCATCACTGTACCCCATCACTGTACCCGTCACTGTACCCCATCACTGTACCCCATCACTTTATCCTGTCACTGTACCCCATCACTGTACCCATCACTGTACCCCTCACTGTACCCCATCACTGTACCCGTCACTGTACCCCATCCCCATCACTGTACCCCATCACTGTACCCCATCACTGTACCCCACCCCATCACTGTACCCCATCATCACTGTACCCGTCACTGTACCCCATCACTGTACCCCATCACTGTATCCTGTCACTGTACCCCATCACTGTACCCGTCACTGTACCCCATCACTGTACCCGTCACTGTACCCCATCACTGTACCCCATCACTGTACCCGTCACTGTACCCCATCACTGTATCCTGTCAATGTACCCCACCACGGTACCCTGTCAATGTACCCCTCACTGTACCCCATCACTGTACCCGTCACTGTACCCCGTCACTGTACCCCACCACGGTACCCCTTTCACTGTACCCTTCACTGTACCCCTCACTGTACCCCATCACTGTACCCGTCGCTGTACCCCGTCACTGTACTACATCACTATACCACATCACTGTACCCCGTCACTATACATCATGACTGTACCCCATCACTGTACCCCATCACTATACCCCATCACTATACGCCATAACTATACTCCATCATGGTCCTCATTGTTTGTGTCAACTGGCTTTACTTTATCCCTATTATCATTATTTTTATAACTGCTTTTGATCGGTCCTCTCTTATTCATTGTATATACATGTACTTCTCTGGCTTCCTGTAAATCCTTGTATATATAGTATGACCAGACATTATTGAGAATTTTAGGAATATGTTTAATTGGATTTCTAGTATAAACAACCTTGACCAGTTATCAAGTGCTTGGTTTGATTCAAGAGAGACAACTCCGTTAATCCTTTTTCATGAGGTTGTGAAGAGTGATCGCCCTTGCTAGCAGACGACATTTTCAGTGATCCTCAGTATGGATGATTTAGAGAAGAGAAGTTGATTTTAGAGTATTATAACAAGGACATCAGATCAGCTAAAGTGATTTAATGTAGAACAGGCATCCCTTTGTCCACTGTTTATCGTGTTTCGAAAAATATTGTAAATGGATATGGCATTGAGCACCAGGGAGGCGCAGGTAGGCCCAGAAAATTGACTGTCGGTGACAGGAGGCGGCTTGGTATTCTTGTTTCTAAAAACAAACGAAGGAGTTTTGGAAACTTAAGGCTTGATATGATTGATAGAGGAACATGTGGCTGTCTGTAAGGAGACAATTAGAACTGAGCTGCATGCAATGGGTTGGCAGAAAAGTCGAGGAATTCCATCACCGATCATGAAACCTGGACAAAAGGAGCGAAGGTTGAACTGGCGGTTGCAGCATAAAAAAGTTTAACAGGGACAATGTGATTTTCTCTGATGAAAGTTCTGTGTGGCTGTTTCCTAATACACTGAAATTCTGGACCAAACAAACTGAAAAACCTTTGTATCAGCGCCCAAAGAACAGTCCGAAATTTAACGCGTGGGGTGGCATATCTGTGTATTTGAAGGGAATATGAACAGTGAGCGGTACACAGATATTCTCGAGGGACATTTACTTCCATCTGCTCACGTGTTCTATGGAAAGTTTTTGATCTTCCAGCAGGACAACGACCCAAAACATCGTTCAAAGCATTCACAGGCCTGGTTTCGGACCCAAAATATGACATTATTAGATTGGCCAAGCTATAACCCTGACCTAAATCCAATAGAAAATGTTTGGGGACTTATGAAGGAACTTGTCAATAAGAAAAATCTGACAAATATTGCTGAAATGACAGTTATAAGATTGTCCGTACAGTTGAAGACCAGTTGTATGTCTGTCCGTACTGTTGAAGACCAGTTGAAGGTCGCTCCGTACTGTTGAAGACCAGTTGTAGGTCTCTCCGTACAGTTGAGGACAGTTGAAGGTCTGTTCGTACAGTCGAGGACCAGTTGTAGGTCTGTTCGTACAGTCGAGGACCAGTTGTAGGTCTGTTCGCACAGTTGAGGACAGTTTTAGGTCTGTCCGTACAGTTGAGGACAGCTTTAGGTCTGTTCGTAGAGTTGAAGACCATTCGTAAGTCTGTCCGTACAGTTGAGGACAGTTTTGGGTCTGTCCGTACAGTTGAGGACCAGTTGTAAGTCTGTCCGAACAGTTGAGTTCAGTTGTAAGTCTGTCCGTACAGTTGAAGTCCAGTTGTATGTCTGTCCGTACTGTTGAAGACCAGTTGTAAGTCTGTCCGTACAGTTGAAGACCAGTTGTAGGTCTCTCCGTACAGTTGAGGACAGTTGATGGTCTGTTCGTAGAGTTGAAGAGCATTTGTAGGTTGGTACCCTCAGTAAATTACGCAGTCCACTGTATTGTTCTGGTCGACTACAGCAGGCATTGGTATTACTGTGCGTAATTTAACTAAGTGTAGGAAACTCACGTGGAGGGCGATGTAGGGTTTGTTGAGAGTCTGGCAGTGGGCGGAGCACATGGGGATGGTCATTGAGTTGCTACTGATGTCGTCGTCGGTTGGTAGGAGACGGTCTTTGTTTGCCTGCCCGTAGCATCCCTGATACGTGTCTGCAGCAACAGGAGAAGGCAGGATGAAGATGTTATTACGATGACATTATCAAGAAAACGTTTTCAGGAGGAGGTTACAAAGATGACGCTATCAAAAAGAAGCAAGAGATTTTACACATCAGAATTAGGAGTGAAGGAACTTTGTTTAACGCTGCTTCAGATATTTGTACTGGCAGCCCACACATCATCGTATGTAAGCCCACTGGACGTGGCTGTCACTGTTACCGATATCGTATGTACTGGCAAGGACTGGACTGTCACTGTTACCGATATCGTATTGGCAGCACACTGGACGCTGCTTCGTATATTACTCGGAAGCGATATCGTATGTACTGGCGTATGTACTGGCACACTGGACGTGGCTGTCACTGTTACCGATATCGTATGTACTGGCAGCACACTGGACGTGGCTCTCACTGTTACCGATATCGTATGTACTGGCAGCACACTGGACGTGGCTCTCACTGTTACCGATATCGTATGTACTGGCAGCACACTGCACGTGGCTGTCACTGTCACCGATATCGTATGTACTGGCAGCACACTGCACGTGGCTGTCACTGTCAACGATATCGTATGTACTGGCAGCACACTGCACGTGGCTGTCACTGTCACCGATATAGTATGTACTGGCAGCACACTGCACGTGGCTGTCACTGTCACCGATATCGTATGTACTGGCAGCACACTGCACGTGGCTGTCACTGTTACCGATATCGTATGTACTGGCAGCACACTGCACGTGGCTGTCAGTCACCGATAGGCAAGCACACTGCACGTGGCTGTCACTGTCACCGATATCGTATGTACTGGCAGCACACTGCACGTGGCTGTCACTGTTACCGATATCGTATGTACTGGCAGAACACTGGACGTGGCTGTCACTGTCACCGCACATACTGTCGGTGTTGTTTTGTTTGTTTGTTGTCTTACGCCGCACTCAGCAATATTCCAGGCAACTGACGGTGGTCTGTAAATAATCCAATCTGGACCAGACAATCCAGTGGGCAACAGAACGGGCATCGATCTACACAACCAAGTTGAGAACATGCATGACACTGGAGACCCATTCTCTAACCCGGATCGTCACGGGTGCATTTGTCGGGGCTACTCGACATGGTTGCCAGTGGCATGTTCCTGACAATCAACAGAACGGACCTTCGCCGTAATTTTTCACATCGGTGCAGTTATTGGGAATTGGTGGAAACTTGAAATAGATGACATACACGGTAATGTCGTAGTTGTGGTAGTAGTTGTGGTTGTGGTAGTAGTTGTTGTGGTTGTTGGTGTTGTTGTAGGCGTGGTAGTAGTCGTCGTAGTAGATGTTGTTGTAGGCGTTGTAGTAGGTGTTGTTGTAGGCGTTGTAGTAGGTGTTGTTGTTGGCGTTGTTGTAGGCGTTGTTGTAGGCGTTGTAGTAGGTGTTGTTGTTGGCGTTGTTGTAGGCGTTGTTGTAGGCGTTGTAGTAGGTGTTGTTGTAGGTGTTGTTGTAGGCGTTGTTGTAGGCGTTGTAGTAGGCGTTGTTGTAGGCGTTGTAGTAGGCGTTGTTGTAGGCGTTGTAGTAGGTGTTGTTGTTGGCGTTGTTGTAGGCGTTGTAGTAGGTGTTGTTGTAGGCGTTGTTGTAGGCGTTGTAGTAGGCGTTGTTGTAGGCGTTGTAGTAGGCGTTGTTGTAGGCGTTGTAGTAGGCGTTGTTGTAGGTGTTGTTGTAGGCGTTGTTGTAGGCGTTGTAGTAGGTGTTGTTGTTGGCGTTGTTGTAGGCGTTGTAGTAGGCGTTGTAGTAGGTGTTGTTGGCGTTGTTGAAGGCGTTGTAGTAGATGTTGTTGGATTTGCAGGCGTGGTAGTAGTCGTCGTAGTAGGTGCTGTTGGCGTTGTTATAGGCGTTGTAGTAGTCGTCGTAGTAGATGTTGATGTAGGCGTTGTTGTAAGCGTTGTGGTAGGTGTTGTTGCTGGTGTTGTAGTAGGCGTCGTGGTATTCGTCGTTGTAGACGTTGTAGCTTGCCCTGCTGCTGGTGTTGTAGTGGATGTCGTAGTAGGCGCTGGTGTAGACGTTGTTGTTGCCATTGTTGTTTTAGTTGTCGTTGGCGTTGTAGTAGATGTGGATGATGATGTAGCTGTTGCTGCTAGTGAATCTAGGAAGAGAATACAATCATGTGTAAAGGTTAGTTGTTAGCTTACACTTTCTACGTTATAAAGCTTGTAGACATAAATTTAAATTGCTGTCACCATTGTATGTCAGATACCCCAGCCTACACATAATAAGTTCTTGAAATAATAAACCAGTCTGAATGGTTTACAGGTTGCGATTGTCTGTAGCCTTGTGTGGCCATAATCCAGCAATGTTGGCGGCGGAGAGGAGTTGGCTGGGTGATCGTTTTCAGCACCACACTGTAACACATATTACATGTTTCCTAGGGAAGTAACCTTGTTCGAATTATGCTAACACAACAGTAAATGGGTACCTGGTAGGCTGACATTGTAATGTGCCAGTTTGCCTAGTATTATACAGTAATGACTGCGGGGATGTATGTGTTCTGATCAGTCGTCCACCCATCAGCCGGTGCATAATTACTTAAGGTCTTGTGGGGTAGTCTAGTGGTTAGAGCGTTGGCTCGTCACGCCGAAGATCCGCTTTCGATTCCCCACGCAGTGTTTGGGAGGGGCAGTATAAGGTTTGAGGAGCACTTTGTGCGAACAGTCGACTTCCATTACTTGTAGTCCACGGGAAACCCACTGTCACACAGTATCAGAACATGGTCCTGGGTTGACATTACAACACGATATCCCTACACCCTATACTGCAGTTCAACCTCGAACTCAACCCCGGGTGTTGCCACTTCAACCTCGAACTCAACCCCGGGTGTTGTCACTTACTGACCTTCGTGTTCTCCATACATGAATATGATCGAACACATTTGGGATGTGCTGGGAAGACGAGAGCGACAGTAGTTGAATCTATCAAAGGCCTTGCAAGAATTGGGACAAACTGACCGTATTTCGGTTAGAGTTTTCCAACAGGTTCTCCTGTCCATTAGGACATGCGGTGTGTAGGTCACAACAGACCTCACAGAGGTGCGTCAAGCTACGTCAAGGTAAGTGATGGAGCCTCACAGAGCGTCATGGAGCCTTACAGAGCTTTATGGTACGTCATAGAGCGTCACAGAGCGTCATGGTACGACATGGGGCATCACAGAGCGTCATGGTACGACAATGAGCCTAACAGAGCGTCATGGTACGTCATGGAGCCTAACAGAGCGTCATGGTACGTGATGGGGCATCACAGAGCGTCATGGTACGACAATGAGCCTAACAGAGGGTCATGGTACGTCAATGAGCCTAACAGAGCGTCATGGTACGTCATGGATCCTCACAGAGCGGCATGGTACTTCATGGAGCATCAAAGAGCGTCATGGTATGTCACAGAGCCTCACGGAGCGTCATGGCACGTCACAGAGCCTCACAGAGCATCATGGTACGTCACGGAGCCTCACAGAGCGTCATGGTACGTCACGGAGCCTCACAGAGCGGCATGGTACGTCATTGAGCATCACAGAGCGTCACGGTACGTCACAGAGCGTCATGGTACGTCACAGAGCGTCATGGTACGTCATGGAGCCTCACAGAGCGTCATGGTACGTCATGGAGCCTCACAGAGCGTCATGGTACGAAGTGGAGCCTCACAGAGCATCATGGTACGACATGGAGCCTCACAAAGCGTCATGGTACGTCATGGAGCCTCACAGAGCATCACGGCACGTCATGGAGCATCACAGAGCGTCATGATACGACATGGAGCCTTACAGAGCGTCATGGTACGTCATTGAGCCTCACAGAGCGTCATGGTACGTCATGGAGCCTAACAGAGCGTCATGGTACGTCACGGAGCCTCACAGAGCGTCATGGTACGTCACGGAGCCTCACAGAGCGTCATGGTACGTCACGGAGCCTCACAGAGCGTCATGGTACGTCATGGAGCCTCACAGAGCGTCATGGTACGTCATGGAGCCTCACAGAGCGTCATGGTACGTCACGGAGCCTCACAGAGCGTCATGGTACGTCATGGAGCCTCACAGAGCATCATGGTACGTCATGGTACGTCATCAGAGCGTCATGGTACGTCATGGAGCCTCACAGCGTCAGAGCGTCATGGTACGTCATGGAGCCTCACAGAGCGTCATGGTACGTCACGGAGCGTCACAGAGCGTCATGGTACGTCAAGGAGCCTCACAGAGCGTCATGGTACGTCACGGAGCCTCACAGAGCGTCATGGTACGTCATGGAGCATCACAGAGCGTCATGGTACGTCATGGAGCATCACAGAGCGTCATGGTACGTCATGGAGCCTAACAGAGCGTCATGGTACGTCATGGAGCATCACAGAGCGTCACGGTACTTCATAGAGCATCACAGAGCGTCATGGTACGACATGGGGCATCAGAGAGCGTCATGGTACGACAATTAGCATAACAGAGCGTCATGGTACGTCATAGAGCCTAACAGAGCGTCATGGTACGTCATTGAGCCTCACAGAGCGTCATGGTACATCATTGAGCCTCACAGAGCGTCATGGTACGTCATGGAGCCTCACAGAGCGTCATGGTACGTCATGGAGCCTCACAGAGCGTCATGGTATGTCATGGAGATTAACAGAGCGTCATGGTACATCATTGAGCCTCACAAAGCGTCATGGTACGTCATGGAGCCTCACAGAGCGTCATGGTACGTCATGGAGCTTCACAGAGCGTCATGGTACGTCAGGGAGATTCACAGAGCGTCATGGTACGTCATGGAGCCTCACTGAGCGTCATGGTACGTCACGGAGCCTCACAAAGCGTCATGGTACGTCATGGAGATTCACAGAGCGTCATGGTACATCATGGAGCCTCACAGAGCGTCATGGTACGTCATGGAGCCTCACAGAGCGTCATGGTACGTCATGGAGCCTCACAGAGCGTCATGGTACGTCATGGAGATTCACAGAGCGTCATGGTACGTCATGGAGCCTCACAGAGCGTCATGGTACGTCATGGAGCCTCACAGAGCGTCATGGTACGTCATGGAGCCTCACAGAGCGTCATGGTACGTCATGGAGCCTCACAGAGCGTCATGGTACGTCATGGAGCCTCACAGAGCGTCATGGTACGTCACGGAGCCTCACAGAGCGTCATGGTACGTCATGGAGCTTCACAGAGCGTCATGGTACGTCATGGAGTATCACAGAGCGTCATGGTACGTCATGGAGCCTCACAGAGCGACATGGTACGTCAGGGAGCATCACAGAGCGTCATGCCATACGTCACGGAGCGTCACAGACGCGTCATGGTACGTCATCATGGTACGTCACTGAGCATCACAGAGCGTCATGGTATGTTATGGAGATACGCAGAGCATCATGGTTCATCATTGAGCCTCACACCGCGTCATGGTACGTCATGGAGCCTCACAAAGCGTCATGGTATGTCATCGAGATTCACAGAGCATCATGGTACTTCATGGAGCCTCACAAAGCGTCATGGTATGTAATGGAGATTCAAAGAGCGTCATGGTACGTCACGGAGCCTCACAGAGCGTCATGGTACGTCATGGAGCCTCACAGAGCGTCATGGTACGTCATGGAGATTCACAGAGCGTCATGGTACGTCACGGAGCAGAGCGTCATGGTGCGTCAGAGCGTCATGGTACGTCATGGAGCATCACAGAGCGTCATGGTACGTCACGGAGCCTCACAGAGCGTCATGGTACGTCATGGAGCCTCACAGAGCGTCATGGTATGTCATGGAGCCTCACAGAGCGTCATGGTACGTCATTGAGCTTCACAGAGCGTCATGGTACGTCATGGAGATTCACAGAGCGTCATGGTACGTCATGGAGCCTCACAGAGCGTCATGGTACGTCATGGAGCATCACAGAGCGTCATGGTACGTCACGGAGCCTCACAGAGCGTCATGGTACGTCATGGAGCCTCACAAAGCGTCATGGTACGTCATGGAGATTCACAGAGCGTCATGGTACATCATTGACCCTCACAAAGCGTCATGGTACGTCATGGAGCCTCACAGAGCGTCATGGTATGTCATGGAGCCTCACAGAGCGTCATGGTACTTCATGGAGATTCACAGAGCGTCATGGTACGTCATGGAGCCTCACAGAGCGTCATGGTACGTCACGGAGCCTCACAAAGCGTCATGGTATGTCATGGAGATTCGCAGAGCGTCATTGTACATCATTGAGCTTCACACAGCGTCATGGCACGTCATGGAGCCTTACAGAGCGTCATGGAGCCTGACAGAGGGTCATTGTACGTCGTGGAGCCTCACAAAGCGTCATGGTATGTCATGGAGATTCACAGAGCGTCATGGTACGTCATGGAGCCTCACAGAGCGTCATGGTACGTCATGAAGCTTCACAGAGGATCATGGTACGTCATTGGGCATCACAGAGCGTCATGGTATGTCACGGAGCCTCACACAGCGACATGGTACGTCATGAAGCTTCACAGAGCGTCATGGTACGTATTGGAGTATAACAGAGCGTCATGGTACGTCACGGAGCCTCACAGAGCGACATGGTACGTCATTGAGCCTCACAGAGCGTCATGGTATGTCATGGAGTATCACTGAGCGTCATGCTACGTCATTGAGCTTCACAGAGCGTCATGGTACGTCAGGGAGCATCACAGAGCGTCATGAAGTGCCATGGAGCCTCACAGAGCGTCATGGTACGTCATGGAGCCTAACAGAGTGTCATGGCCGCGACAAGAATATGGTAAAACAAACAGACAGACGTACCAGTGGTGACACACAAGTAGCCAGCACCCCCTCGCACCGTCACGCAGAACTCTGTCGGGTCACATGAACGATGTCCACACACGTGCCCCAACACCTGCAACATAAACACATGTTGATGACGTCATGCATATCGGGGGCGGTGAGGTAGTCCAGTGGTTAAAGCGTCCGCTCGACACACCTTAGATCCGGGTTTGATTTCCTTCATAATTATACTGAATCAAAAAAGAAACTTCACAAAATGTAATTTTAAAAATAATAAATAATTTTTCTCTGATGATACATCTATGTATCCGAAATGGGATCCCTATCTTTCGACTCTAGAAAAACGTTAGCAAATACCACTCAAACCCATCCATTCGTCGTGCAAATGACGTTAGTGCCAAATCAGGTTTTGCACGTGCAGTCGTCCACGTGATGTTTGCATCGAAGTTTTCTTCATATGCACGTGTTTGCATTGGCCTCAAGAATTGAAAAAACACACTTTTAAACCACAGTTCTAACGGTACTTGAAATGCCACGATTGACAAATGTGCAACGTGAACGTGCCGTTGGCATGTTGCAAGCGGGAAGATCAGTTATTGACGTCGCAAGAGCAATGGGATGCAGCCGTCGTACTGTGTATGACGTGCGAGGTCGTCTACAACAAACTGGCACCACTTCTGATCGCCCAAGGTCGGGTCGTCCACGTGTGACGTCACGAGCAGAAGACCTTCAAATCGTCCCACGTCACCTACGTGACAGATTTCTGCCGGCTACACGAACCAAGGCTGAGATTTTTAGAGGTCGACTGTCCTCACAGACCATTAATTCGAAATCGGTTGCGGGCTGCCAATCTCCATTCTCGACGTCCATATCGTGGGCCAATATTGACGCCGTTTCATCACAGTCAACGTCTGCTGTGGGCCGAGCGTCACCTCTGATGGACCCAGAGAGATTGGAATCGAGTCGTCTTTAGCGATGAATCCAGGTTTACCCTCAGATTCGCGGATGGCAGGCATAGAGTCTGGAGACGACGTCGCGAACTGTATGCCCAATGTTGTGTACAGGAAGTCGACAGATTCGGGGGCGGAAGTTGCATGGTGTGGGGTGCTTTCTGTGGGAACAACCGTTCCCGACTTCTGGTCATCCGTGGAAACCTTACAGCTGTTGCTTACCGCGACCAGGTGCTCACCCCTGAACTCGTTCCTTTCATGGCGGCTCATGGCCCAGGTCTACAGTTCCAGCATGATAATGCTCGGCCGCATACCGCGATGTTGATACGAAATTTCCATCAAAACGCTGGAATCAACGTCATGGACTGTCCATCGAGGTCCCCTGACCTTAATCCAAATAGAGCACGTTTGGGATGCACTTGGGAGAAGGCTTCGTGGTCTTAGGAACCAACCTCAGAATTTGCAGGAACTTGGCGCTGCCTTGCAAGAGCAATGGCGCAGAATCCCCGACCACATGTTCACAAGCATCAGGCAGTCGATGAAGAGAATGTGTTTGGCAGTGGTGAATGCGCGGGGCGGCCATACACGATATTGAACTGAGAAATTTCGCATTTTTATTCTTGTGACTTGACATTCTGTATACCCATGTTTTGGAACGGCGGTGTAGCCTAATGGAACTGATTATGGCACTGTCAGTGTATCGAGTACATCACACAGATCTCAGCATTGAAATAACAACAATTTAACCATCTTACCATCTCTTGTTTCTTTTTTGACTCAGTAGATAATGTGTGAAGCCGATTTCTTGTGTCCCCCGCTGTGATATTGCTGGAATGTTGCGGAAAAAGCGGCGGAAAACTAAATTCACTCACTCATGCATACCGATAGCAGTGACGCAATTTTCAGATACCGAAAAAGTCTTTTAAATAAATCATGGCGTGTCGATAGAGAACAAAGAGTATATCTGTACTTCAAAGCAATTCCCTAATGCAGTAGGCGTGACTATTTAATATACCAGGACCAGGAAACTTGAAGCTTAGCTCAGTGTCTCTGATTAGATATTCAGTTTCTACATTACCAGAAAAAAAATCGGTCCTTTCTGAATGACCAAAATGTTATAGTCGGTCATGGATAATTGAGCACGTGAGCGAATGCAGGTGTAGGATGGTATAGAATGTACAAGCTAAGTACATAAGTGTTAGGGAACATTCTTGTATAGATGTTACCAGAGGGACATTTTGTAGAGAGACAGTCTTGTATAGATGTTACCAGTGTGACAGTGGGTAGAGGGACAGTCTTGTATAGATGTTACGTGTGTGACTGTGGGTAGAGGGATAGACTTGTATAGATGTTACCAGTGTGACAGTGGGTAGAGGGACAGTCTTGTATAGATGTTACCAGGTAGTGGGTAGAGGAGGGAGTCTTGTATAGATGTTACGTGTGTGACAGTGGGTAGAGGGACAGTCTTGTATAGATGTTACCAGTGTGACAGTGGGTAGAGGGACAGTCTTGTATAGATGTTACCAGTGTGACAGTGGGTAGAGGGACAGTCTTGTATAGATGTTACCAGTGTGACAGTGGGTAGAGGGAGAGTCTTGTATAGATGTTACCAGTGTGACAGTGGGTAGAGGACAGTCTTGTATAGATGTTACCTGTGTGACAGTGGGTAGAGGGATAGTCTTGTATAGATGTTACCAGTGTGACAGTGGGTAGAGGGACAGTCTTGTATAGATGTTACCAGTGTGACAGTGGGTAGAGGGACAGTCTTGTATAGATGTTACCAGTGTGACAGTGGGTAGAGGGATAGACTTGTATAGATGTTACCGTGTGTGACAGTGGGTAGAGGGACAGTCTTGTATAGAGATGTTACAGTGTGTGACAGTGGGTATGTTACCAGTGGGACAGTGGGTGTATAGAGATCTTACCAGTGTGACAGTGGGTAGAGGGACAGTCTTGTATAGATGTTACGTGTGTGACAGTGGGTAGAGGGATAGTCTTGTATAGATGTTACCAGTGTGACAGTGGGTAGAGGGACAGTCTTGTATAGATGTTACGTGTGTGACTGTGGGTAGAGGGATAGACTTGTATAGATGTTACGTGTGTGACAGTGGGTAGAGGGACAGTCTTGTATAGATGTTACCAGTGTGACAGTGGGTAGAGGGATAGACTTGTATAGATGTTACCAGTGTGTGACAGTGGGTAGAGGAGAGGGATAGATGTTACCTTGTATAGGGTAGAGGGACAGTCTTGTATAGATGTTACGTGTGTGACAGTGGGTAGAGGGATAGACTTGTATAGATGTTACCAGTGTGACAGTGGGTAGAGGGACAGTCTTGTATAGATGTTACGTGTGTGACTGTGGGTAGAGGGATAGTCTTGTATAGATGTTACCGTGTGTGACAGTGGGTAGAGGACAGTCTTGTATAGATGTTACCAGTGTGACAGTGGGTAGAGGGATAGTCTTGTATAGATGTTACAGTGTGACAGTGTGACAGTGGGTAGAGTGGGTAGAGGGACAGTCTTGTATAGATGTTACCAGTGTGACAGTGGGTAGAGGGATAGACTTGTATAGATGTTACCAGTGTGACAGTGGGTAGAGGGACAGTCTTGTATAGATGTTACGTGTGTGACAGTGGGTAGAGGGATAGACTTGTATAGATGTTACGTGTGTGACAGTGGGTAGAGGGACAGTCTTGTATAGATGTTACGTGTGTGACTGTGGGTAGAGGGATAGACTTGTATAGATGTTACGTGTGTGACAGTGGGTAGAGAGACAGTCTTGTATAGATGTTACGTGTGTGACAGTGGGTAGAGGGATAGACTTGTATAGATGTTACCGTGTGTGACAGTGGGTAGAGGGACAGTCTTGTATAGATGTTACGTGTGTGACTGTGGGTAGAGGGATAGACTTGTATAGATGTTACGTGTGTGACAGTGAGTAGAGGGACAGTCTTGTATAGATGTTACCAGTGTGACTGTGGGTAGAGGGACAGTCTTGTATAGATGTTACGTGTGTGACAGTGGGTAGAGGGATAGACTTGTATAGATGTTACGTGTGTGACAGTGGGTAGAGGGATAGACTTGTATAGATGTTACCAGTGTGACAGTGGGTAGAGGGACAGTCTTGTATAGATGTTACCAGTGTGACAGTGGGTAGAGGGATAGTCTTGTATAGATGTTACGTGTGTGACAGTGGGTAGAGGGACAGTCTTGTATAGATGTTACCAGTGTGACAGTGGGTAGAGAGGACAGTCTTGTATAGATGTTACGTGTGTGACTGTGGGTAGAGGGATAGACTTGTATAGATGTTACCAGTGTGACAGTGGGTAGAGGGACAGTCTTGTATAGATGTTACCAGTGTGACAGTGGGTAGAGGGACAGTCTTGTATAGATGTTACCAGTGTGACAGTGGTAGAGGACAGTCTTGTATAGATGTTACCAGTGTGACAGTGGGTAGAGGGACAGTCTTGTATAGATGTTACCAGTGTGACAGTGGGTAGAGGGACAGTCTTGTATAGATGTTACCAGTGTGACAGTGGGTAGAGGGACAGTCTTGTATAGATGTTACCAGTGTGTGGGTAGAGGACCTTGTATAGATGTTACGTGTGTGACAGTGGGTAGAGGGAGTCTTGTATAGATGTTACCAGTGTGACAGTGGGTAGAGGGATAGACTTGTATAGATGTTACCAGTGTGACAGTGGGTAGAGGGATAGACTTGTATAGATGTTACGTGTGTGACAGTGGGTAGAGGGACAGTCTTGTATAGATGTTACGTGTGTGACAGTGGGTAGAGGGATAGACTTGTATAGATGTTACGTGTGTGACAGTGGGTAGAGGGACAGTGGGTACGTGTGTGACTGTGGGTAGAGATAGACTTGTATAGATGTTACGTGTGTGACAGTGGGTAGAGGGACAGTCTTGTATAGATGTTACCAGTGTGACAGTGGGTAGAGGGACAGTCTTGTATAGATGTTACCAGTGTGACAGTGGGTAGAAGGATAGACTTGTATAGATGTTACCTGTGTGACAGTGGGTAGAGGGACAGTCTTGTATAGATGTTACGTGTGTGACTGTGGGTAGAGGGATAGACTTGTATAGATGTTCCGTGTGTGACAGTGGGTAGAGGGATAGACTTGTATAGATGTTACGTGTGTGACAGTGGGTAGAGGGACAGTCTTGTATAGATGTTACCAGTGTGACAGTGGGTAGAGGGACAGTCTTGTATAGATGTTACCAGTGTGACAGTGGGTAGAGGACAGTCTTGTATAGATGTTACCAGTGTGACAGTGGGTAGAGGGACAGTCTTGTATAGATGTTACCAGTGTGACAGTGGGTAGAGGGACAGTCTTGTATAGATGTTACCAGTGTGACAGTGGGTAGAGGGATAGACTTGTATAGATGTTACCAGTGTGACTGTGGGTAGAGGGACAGTCTTGTATAGATGTTACGTGTGTGACAGTGGGTAGAGGGATAGACTTGTATAGATGTTACCAGTGTGACAGTGGGTAGAGGGACAGTCTTGTATAGATGTTACGTGTGTGACTGTGGGTAGAGGGATAGACTTGTATAGATGTTACGTGTGTGACAGTGAGTAGAGGACAGTCTTGTATAGATGTTACGTGTGTGACAGTGGGTAGAGGGATAGACTTGTATAGATGTTACGTGTGTGACAGTGGGTAGAGGGACAGTCTTGTATAGATGTTACGTGTGTGACTGTGGGTAGAGGATAGACTTGTATAGATGTTACGTGTGTGACAGTGAGTAGAGGGACAGTCTTGTATAGATGTTACCAGTGTGACAGTGGGTAGAGGGACAGTCTTGTATAGATGTTACCAGTGTGACTGTGGGTAGAAGGATAGACTTGTATAGATGTTACCTGTGTGACAGTGGGTAGAGGGACAGTCTTGTATAGATGTTACGTGTGTGACTGTGGGTAGAGTGATAGACTTGTATAGATGTTCCGTGTGTGACAGTGGGTAGAGGGATAGACTTGTATAGATGTTACGTGTGTGACAGTGGGTAGAGGGACAGTCTTGTATAGATGTTACCAGTGTGACTGTGGGTAGAGGGACAGTCTTGTATAGATGTTACCAGTGTGACAGTGGGTAGAGGGACAGTCTTGTATAGATGTTACCAGTGTGACAGTGGGTAGAGGGACAGTCTTGTATAGATGTTACCAGTGTGACAGTGGGTAGAGGGACAGTCTTGTATAGATGTTACCAGTGTGACAGTGGGTAGAGGGATAGACTTGTATAGATGTTACCTGTGTGACAGTGGGTAGAGGGACAGTCTTGTATAGATGTTACCAGTATGTGACAGCGGGTAGAGGTATAGACTTGTATAGATGTTACCTGTGTGAGAGTGGGTAGAGGGACAGTCATTTTCATCTGTGTATGTGTTTTAATGTGACTGTCATAATTCAGGAATGTTCTTACACAAACACACATACATACATACATACATACATACATACATACATACATACATACATACATACATACATACATACATACATACATACATACATACATACATACATACATACATACATACATACATACATACATACATACATACATACATACATACATACATACATACATACATACATACATACATACATACATACATACATACATACATACATACATACATACATACATACATACATACATACATACATACATACATACATACATACACAAACACACATACATACATAGGTGCACCGAGTTAGTGTGGCTTTCCCATACTTACGACTGACTGACTGACTGAATTTGGTTTTACGCCGTTTTAAGCAATATTCCAGCAACATCACGGCGTGGGACACCAGAAATGGGCTTCACAAATTGTACCCATGTGGGGATTCGAACCCGGGTCTTCGGCGTGACGAGCTAACGCTTTAACCACTAGGCTACCCCACCGTCCCCCATACTTACGAGGTACCCATTCACAGCTGGGTGTACTGGACACATAGTCACAGTACTTTGTCCAAGTTTACTGCACATACACATGTGAGTATGTTTATGTTTATGTGTGAGTGTGTTTATGTATGTTGATGTGTGTTTATGTTTATGTGTATGTGCGTGTATGTGTGTTTATGTATGTTGATGTGTGTTTATGTTTATGTGTATGTGCGTGTGTCTGTGTTTATTTATGTTGATGTGTGTTTATGTTTATGTGTATGTACGTGTGTGTGTGTTTATGTATGTTGATGTGTGTTTATGTTTATGTGTATGTGCGTGTGTCTGTGTTTATGTATGTTGATGTGTGTTTATGTTTATGTGTATGTGCGTGTGTGTGTTTCTTTCCAGTTACATATCAGGGGCTAGTAGGGTGAACAAGGGAATCCAATGATTGATGTGACCAAGGTGCCAGTGTCGGGGTACACAGTCCCGTATTCAGACACGCAGTTTGATATAAGTTGTGGAATGTGTGACACAGTATATGGACAGAGAACGTTGTGTGAGAATGTATAGGTGTTTACAAAGATGTGTGACACAGTATATGGACAGAGAGCGTTGTGTGAGAATGTATAGGTGTTTACAACGTTGTGTGACACAGTATATTGACAGACAACGTTGTGTGACACAGTATATTGACAGACAACGTTGTGTGACACAGTATATTGACAGACAACGTTGTGTGACACAGTATATGGACAGACAACGTTGTGTGACACAGTATATGGACAAAGAGCGTTGTGTGAGAATGTATAGGTGTTTACAACGTTGTGTGACACAGTATATTGACAGACAACGTTGTGTGACACAGTATATGGACAGACAACGTTGTGTGACACAGTATATGGACAGACAACGTTGTGTGACACGACACAGTATATTGACAGACAACGTTGTATGACACAGTATATGGACAGACAGCGTTGTGTGACACAGTATATTGACAAACAGCATGGTGTGACACAGTATATGGACTGACATACCTGACACGACGGCATGTTGACCTGCATGTACACAGCGCCGGAGACGTTCACCCTGTCGTTATGTTGTCCTGACACCGAGTTCAGCTCACAACGTCGTACGGCCGCCTCCCAATTGACGGACAAACATCTGCTGCTTCTCAGACATACTTGGAAACACGTCTCTTCACGCGGTGCTTCCAGTACCAGGAACATGTGGCCCAGTAGCTTCGTATCCTTGACCCTCTCCTCCATGCACGTGTTTGTGCCGAAAGCACGTGTGAGCATCACACATACAAGCACACAGTGTCTGACATCCAACATGGCACTCTCCCTTCCAATGCTCCAAGTTCGACCGTACTTAAATCTGAAACCAACAAGTCCAGAGTGTCACAGTTGCTGTTCACTAAAGTATAGAAACTTCCAGATCAATATGATCTGTGATTGTAAAACCGTTACACATACCCGCTTACACAGCCCACCTGTCCTAGCCTCCACCCACTGAGTTCTCCAGGCGCCAACGTGTATGTCCAACACTAAACACACCAGCAGGTATTGAACGCATCACTTCATCGACGAACATGAGGGAAAATAAACATAAAACCTCACCGCGTGTACGACAGGGGGTAGGGTCAATACATCCATGTCGCGAAACTTACATGCTTGTGTTCATTACGTATACGATGAAACTCTACTCCGAAGTGGACTAATTGCTGTGCGGTTAGACCGTAGATACTAGTCCAGGGGGAGCATCTCAAAAGAGGCCTAGAAATAAGATTTAGTAACCTCCCCAGTACTGATTCTGTTTGACACTATTTTCAGTTAGAATGATGTCTTGGGCTCATGAAAAGGCCTGTAATACTCTCAGATTGTGGTATCAGTTCTTTTTACAGGCCATTATATGTGGTGGAGTAGTATACCCTATGGGCCTACGGGACCAGGTCCCCCCCCCACCCCCCTAAAGTTTTAAAATTGAGTCCTTGGGAAGTCCCTAATCCCGTAGCCCCATAGTGTATACTACTACTGAGGTGCATGCAAAATTTGATGAAAATCGGTTGAATAGTTTCTGAAATATTGTCTTTTAAGAGAGCATGGGGTCGGTTGGGAAAAAGGCTCGGGTCGCCTCGGGGGTGGTTGCTCCTCCGATCGCTGTAGGCGGACGAGACGCAGTACGTGTGCGTGTGTCTCTCTCGGCTTGGTGTACGGGTGGCTGGCTGGCTGGTGTCTCTCCCGGCTTGGTGTACGGGTGGCTGGCTGGCTGGTATCTCTCTCGGCTTGGTGCACGGGTGGCTGGCTCGCTGGTGTCTCTCTCGGCTTGGTGTACGGGTGGCTGGCTGGCTGGTGTCTCTCTCGGCTTGGTGTACGGGTGGCTGGCTGGCTGGTGTCTCTCTCGGCTTGGTGTACGGGTGGCTGGCTCGCTGGTGTCTCTCTCGGCTTGGTGTACGGGTGGCTGGCTGGCTGGTGTCTCTCTCGGCTTGGTGTACGGGTGGCTGGCTGGCTGGTGTCTCTCTCGGCTTGGTGTACGGGTGGCTGGCTCGCTGGTGTCTCTCTCGGCTTGGTGTATGGGTGACTGGCTGGCTCGGTGTACGGGTGGCTGGCTGGCTGGTGTCTCTCTCGGCTTGGTGTACGGGTGGCTGGCTGGCTGGTGTCTCTCTCGTCTTGGTGTACGGGTGGCTGGCTGGCTGGTGTCTCTCTCGGCTTGGTGTATGGGTGGCTGGCTGGCTCGGTGTACGGGTGGCTGGCTGGCTGGTGTCTCTCTCGGCTTGGTGTACGGGTGGCTGGCTCGCTGGCTGGTGTCTCTCTCGGCTTGGTGTATGGGTGGCTGGCTGGCTCGGTGTCTCTCTCGGCTTGGTGTACGGGTGGCTGGCTGGCTGGTGTCTCTCTCGGCTTGGTGTACGGGTGGCTGGCTGGCTGGTGTCTCTCTCGGCTTGGTGTACGGGTGGCTGGCTGGCTGGTGTCTCTCTCGGCTTGGTGTACGGGTGGCTGGCTGGCTGGTGTCTCTCTCGGCTTGGTGTATGGGTGACTGGCTGGCTCGGTGTACAGGTGGCTGGCTGGCTGGTGTCTCTCTCGGCTCGGTGTACGGGTGGCTGGTTGGCTGGTGTCTCTCTCGGCTTGGTGTACGGGTGGCTGGCTGGCTGGTGTCTCTCTCGGCTTGGTGTATTGGTGGCTGGCTGGCTCGGTGTACGGGTGGCTGGCTGGCTGGTCTCTCTCGGCTTGGTGTACGGGTGGCTGGCTCGCTGGTGTCTCTCTCGGCTTGGTGTACGGGTGGCTGGCTGGCTGGTGTCTCTCGGCGGTGTGCGGGTGGCTGGCTGGCTGGTATCTCTCTCTCGGCTTGGTGCACGGGTGGCTGGCTCGCTGGTGTCTCTCTCGGCTTGGTGTACGGGTGGCTGGCTGGCTGGTGTCTCTCTCGGCTTGGTGTACGGGTGGCTGGCTGGCTGGTGTCTCTCGGCTTGGTGTACAGGTGGCTGGCTCGCTGGTGTCTCTCGGCTTGGTGTACGGGTGGCTGGCTGGCTGGTGTCTCTCTCGGCTTGGTGTACGGGTGGCTGGCTGGCTGGTGTCTCTCTCGGCTTGGTGTACGGGTGGCTGGCTCGCTGGTGTCTCTCTCGGCTTGGTGTATGGGTGACTGGCTGGCTCGGTGTACGGGTGGCTGGCTGGCTGGTGTCTCTCAGCTTGGTGTACGGGTGGCTGGCTGGCTGGTGTCTCTCGTCTTGGTGTACGGGTGGCTGGCTGGCTGGTGTCTCTCTCGGCCAGTGTATGGGTGGCTGGCTGGCTCGGTGTACGGGTGGCTGGCTGGCTGGTGTCTCTCGGCTTGGTGTACGGGTGGCTGGCTCGCTGGTGTCTCTCTCGGCTTGGTGTATGGGTGGCTGGCTGGCTCGGTGTCTCTCTCGGCTTGGTGTACGGGTGGCTGGCTGGCTGGTGTCTCTCTCGGCTTGGTGTACGGGTGGCTGGCTGGCTGGTGTCTCTCTCGGCTTGGTGTACGGGTGGCTGGCTGGCTGGTGTCTCTCTCGGCTTGGTGTACGGGTGGCTGGCTGGCTGGTGTCTCTCTCGGCTTGGTGTATGGGTGACTGGCTGGCTCGGTGTACGGGTGGCTGGCTGGCTGGTGTCTCTCTCGGCTCGGTGTACGGGTGGCTGGGTGGCTGGTGTCTCTCTCGGCTTGGTGTACGGGTGGCTGGCTGGCTGGTGTCTCTCTCGGCTTGGTGTATTGGTGGCTGGCTGGCTCGGTGTACGGGTGGCTGGCTGGCTGGTGTCTCTCTCGGCTTGGTGTACGGGTGGCTGGCTCGCTGGTGTCTCTCTCGGCTTGGTGTACAGGTGGCTGGCTGGCTGGTGTCTCTCGGCTTGGTGTACGGGTGGCTGGCTGGCTGGTGTCTCTCTCGGCTTGGTGTATGGGTGACTGGCTGGCTCGGTGTACGGGTGGCTGGCTGGCTGGTGTCTCTCTCGGCTTGGTGTACGGGTGGCTGGCTGGCTGGTGTCTCTCTCGGCTTGGTGTACGGGTGGCTGGCTGGTGTCTCTCGGCAGTGTATGGGTGGCTGGCTGGCTGGTGTCTCTCTCGGCTCGGTGTACGGATGGCTGGCTGGCTGGTGTCTCTCGGCTTGGTGTACGGGTGGCTGGCTGGCTGGCTTGGTGTACAGGTGGCTGGCTCGCTGGGGTGTCTCTCTCGGCTTGGTGTATGGGTGACTGGCTGGCTCGGTGTACGGGTGGCTGGCTGGCTGGTGTCTCTCTCGGCTTGGTGTACGGGTGGCTGGCTGGCTGGTGTCTCTCTCGGCTTGGTGTACGGGTGGCTGGCTGGCTGGTGTCTCTCTCGGCTTGGTGTATGGGTGGCTGGCTGGCTCGGTGTACGGGTGGCTGGCTGGCTGGTGTCTCTCTCGGCTTGGTGTACGGGTGGCTGGCTGGCTTGGTGTACGGGTGGCTGGCTGGCTATTGTCTCTCTCGGCTTGGTGTATGGGTGGCTGGCTGGCTCGGTGTACGGGTGGCTGGCTGGTTCGGTGTACGGGTGGCTGGCTGGCTGGCTACATTAAGCAGAAAAACAAGCATGCAAGACCGATCATGACGAGAAACTATCATCACACGGTAGGTGATTTGTAAGGGACTGTGTCGTGCGATACGATCATCAACTCCTCTCGGACGAATGCTCTCGGCAGCCCGTCTTTCAAGTAGTACAAGTTTGGTTCGCCGTCTTTGATGTCGACCAGGTCGATGTTGTACGATTTCATGGACCATATGGGATCGGTGGCGCGTTTTCTGCTGTCTCCCTCGTATTCGCCCGGCTGGTATAAGTACCTAACGCTAACACGGTCCTGTAATGTTTTCCCTCTTTTATGGCGACGTGCCGCCGCTGGTGACGATTTGACTGATTTCATTTTGATGGCTTCTACGGGTCTTTTGCTCACGAGTCTGGTGACTTCGTTGTTGATGACATCCACCACTCGTGGCAAGCGTACAACGAATTCCGTGTTTCTGTTCCCGGGATCGATTAAATCCTGCGAGTATTGGTGCGAGAACAGGCGTTCGGCTAGGGTGCGATTGAATCTCTCAATGATGGCTTGGCTACGGTGAGCTCCCGCTATACCTCGTCAAAAGCTTCTGCGACTTCGTTCGAATCTTTGGTTGTCAACGGTTCGGCTTCCTTGTAGCGACTGGCGACGTCGAAGACTGTCAGGGCGTACTTGTAGGTTTTACGCCTCACCCTGTCGTGAGGCAGAAACAGGAGGTCGGCTTGGTGAACGCGATTCGGCGTTGAAATGTCGAATTTTCTTCTCGGGATGTATTGAGGCGCCGGCAGGTAGACTTGCCAGATGACTTGTTTTTTTAGCCAGGCTTTGGCTTTCTCTTCCGAGACTCAAGAGGCTTTGGTGAGTTTCGGGACGGTGTCCGCGCCTTTCCAGTACCCTCGCGGGCTGTTATATAATTTCTCCATGATATTTACACGCATGTGTGCGTAAGCGTTCAATTATTCAATACACGCTCGTGTGTGTGTGTGTGTCCGTACGCGTAAGTGGTGACTCCGTCGAGGGACAACGACGTCTTGTTGATTCTCAGTCCGTATATCCTGTATCTGTCGCTTCTCAACATGTTCATCTGGTGTTTGAACGTTTTATTCTTGAACAGGGCTTCCTTGAATCTGGCGTGCTTGATGTGTTTTCTCACCACGTGTTTTTTCACGCCTTTCGCCTTTCGGATTTCGTCGTCGTCGGCTTTCTTGATGGAATACATCTTGGGTCTCAAACCGACGTACTCGGCGATCGGCGTGCCCGCGTATTTGTCCTTCATCTTGCCGAGCACTTTTTGGTTGACTTGGCTGAGCATAGGGTGATCTTTAGGGTAGTCGCTGGTGTCGTACAGGTGCATGTGTTTCTTCATGTCCTCGTACACGTCCTCGGTGTGAATTTCCTTCAGCAGGGAATCCGTGTCCGTGTACAGCACTTCGCACCTGTTGCCGTACTGCTTTTTCAGCTCGTTGTAGTAGAAATCGTACATCAAGTGTTTGGATAAGTCGAGGATGCTCATCCCCACGTAACCGGCCGGTTGAATTTGATGTGGGTTTTGTTCATGTGCAGCGCTGCCAAGTCGTCATCGAAATTCTTGCTTCGGTTGAACCCGGGCTGGCTATAAGTTTCCTGAGTTTTTCTTCCTCGCTGGTTCTGACTAATTTCACGGTAACGCGTTTTCTCAAATTCTCAATCGTCTTGCCGAACACCGAGTTGTTCATGAGCTTG